GTATTCAAATGTCCCTCAAGTACTTTCCACAATTAATTAAACAAATAATTACAAATACGCGTTGCTTTCCCAAATCAGTGCTTCATATGTATAAACATAAACTAGTCTTCAAAACTTAAATGCTGATTGGCTGTAATACATCATGTATTGATTTAGGGGACAAAATGAAATATTTGAATCTAGATAGAAATACTTTTTTTAAGAAATAAATGTATGTTCTTGTATGTTCTTTCTCCTAAAAATCCATCAAATTCTCAAATTTCTCTTTCTGTATTATGTAACTGAGTAATACATTTGAGCTGTGCATGAAACTTCAAACGCTATTGTATTTTCATTAGGTGCTTTTAGTAAATTTGATATTTTTTGTGTGCAGGACTATATATTATTACTTTCAATCTTTCCCTTGGGAACATTACAGAATCTACTTGGCATTAAAACACATTTTCAAGGATGAATCCTAAGTAAATTTTTACGTTAAACTACAGTGTTTCTTAAAAGTGTCTGTATATTTTCTTTCCTTACATTTTATAAAATTATGCTTTCAAATCGTTTCTCATTATCTTTATGGCAACCATAGTTACTCTAACCGAATTTCATTCATATTTTAAAAGTTGAAATAAAATTCCTTTGCATAGCTTAGAGTTAGAATAAAGTTCATTTCACTAAAACCCCCATTGTGTTATCAAACATCGGAATTGAATATTATTTAAAAAATAGTAATTAAACTGTATTTTGGGGCTGAAAATAATCACGAGAATATTTTAGAGCCATTAATTTATAAGGCTCATTTTAATTTCTTAATCCGTTATTTTAAGATGAATTACTTTCCTATCATGCTTCGTTTTATTTCTCTACCAGAATGTAAATTTCCGGCTCACGCGTTATTCAAATTAGGTTGACAGAAAGAAGTATTTAAGAGAAGGTTTCGGAGGGTGAAATCAGAGCGTGTTCTGCCTGCTTGAAGGCCACATTGCTAACTTTCTCTTTTTGATTCTCTGGCAATTAGATTTCTAAGGCGTTGATTTATTCTTGTCATTAGGCTTCTTCAGATCTAGCTTGAGCGCTAGTTAAACTGGGAAACCGTTAGGTTAAACTTCATCATTTTTAAATTTATCCTTTATCTCTCATTTTAAGCCAAAAGTATTGGCTTCTGTAAGCGTGAGTTACTCGTAGTGTCATTTGTTAAACTTTAGTTGGATTAATAAAAGAACCTCTTTTCACTCTTTCCCCTGTCTCTGTCGTATTTATAAAACACAGTGAAAATCACTAGCTGTCTTTTAGAGGTCTGGTCTAATTGAAAGCTCCCGAAGAGAACCAGATCCTAAAAATTCATTAGTAATAGCTTTATAATTTCCACCTGCAAAATACCTCCCGGTACCAATCGCAATATAGTGAATACTTATACAGTATTAGTACTCCTGTTATATACGTTAATAGTACCATTGTATACACTGTATATATTGTAATACGTTCCAACTCTTACTATTGATACTTGAAACCACGGAGGATAGAGAACGCAATATAAAACAAAACGGTTTTGCAGAAAACATAATTATGCTGAAGTGTAGCAGCTAAAGTATGCAAGTAAGAAATTATTAACACTAAATAAAATATTTATTAAGTATTTCTACATTATAATGCATTATATACTGCGCAACTATAAAACTAATATGAATTGTATTGCAATACTAAATAGTTACTCGTACCTAGGAAAGTAGTAAGGGATCCTAGTTTTTAGCTTAATCAATAAACGACGGGTAAGAAAGAAGAAATATTTTTCTGGCACCGTGTAGCATCACATGCAGTTTCAGAGGATAGTAGAAATAAAAATAAATCCTTTTTCTAGCACTAATGCGCTAATAACGCACTAGTAGACTCCAAGTATTTGAAATATCATTATTATGTTTTGCTATAAATAAAAACTTTAAGAGTAGGAAAGCTGGGGTAACACGTTACGAATGCGGATAAGGTAAATGATCAAAATAAGAATAGAATCAAATTTAAAAAGAAGTATGGGTACGGAAGCAAATAAGTCGAATATTCTCTTACCCCTAATAGCCGAGATTTCCTCGTAGCATACTTGTGATCATCAAGACAGAATATAAGCTCAGTGTCTGAGGAATTCTTGTAACCGGATAGTATACTTATGACTCCGAAATTACTATTTGCATTAGTTTTATTTAGTTACGTTGGCCCAAAGCGAACTATAGAAATACAATATTGGACGTGCTTGAGCTGCTATGTTTCGTTCAAGCTTTACGAAACATAAGAGGATTCCTTTGCCGTTCCCAAGCGAAAGGAATGTAAGAAAAACCTCGGTAACTGAATTAGCGGTTACTATAGAAAAACTATATACAAATATTCTCTAATTCAGATAAATATGTTAAGTACATATGCAATTTCTATAAATATCATAATATACCTGACATGTCATAATAAAGCATTTTCTGAAAATATATCACCCATTACTTGGCAGTTTGGATAATGTCTCATATTTTCAGTGAATATTTGATCTCTTTCAATTTAATAAGTGAGCTTTATTCCAGTTTATTGCAAACATTTCTGAGAAACGCAAGTAATGGCCTTCTTGTTACGAATCACTCAATGTTTTGATGAAACTTAGCCAGATTAACTAAGCTTATCGTGTTAAAAAATCACCCTTAAGCTATGGCTTGTTTGAAACTTTTTATGCATGTTTTTGCGGATAATTAGCCGAAATAACGATTTTCAGCAATCATTAAATGCTTTTCACCAATCATTAAAAACTTTTAAATCAGCCTTGTTGTCAATAAAAGTTTTTCAAGTTGGAAAAGAGTAATTAGTATAAATAAAAACAGCGAAAAGGAAAACTGCTTTCTTTTTTTTTTTTTTTTTTTTTACATTTAATAAATGCACGGTTTTTTTTGGACAGTTCCAGATTACTTTTTCTAAAGCATATTGCTTCTGGGTATTTTACACAAAATTGAAGGTTTGAATAGATTTCACAAAAGAAATGCTTATCAGCAGAGTTCTGTTCTTTTGATAAGGACAATACTGCTCCTGTGCTTTAAAATTGAAAAGTAGTGAGGTAAAATAACATGAAAGTGGGCAAATAAAAACATTGAAACACACTTTTTCATATTTCTTTGTCATTGTTTGAGTATCTTAAAAGAAAGGAATTACTCCACGGAAAATATATATATATACTATGTCTTTCTCTCTCTCTGTATATATATATATATATATATATATATATATTACAGAGAAAGATACACATATATATATAATATATATATACACAGAGAGAATGATATGCGTTTGATATATATATAATATATATATGTGTGAGTACATACATATTGTTATGAATTTTGTATATATGTAAGGAATATTAGTGACATTATATGTAAATTATATGTGAAATTATATCTATCTCTTGTATGTAAAACATGAAAGGCCTTAGAATACGATGCCTCGCCGAAAAAGTAGGTTTACAGGATTTAATCCATTTAACTTAGGAAAATGGCTGTCATTTTGGCGAGAAATCGCCAAGATTGGCGACCATTTAGGGAAATTTTTGTCCCAATCACTCTGTAATAATAACTGGCACAATCCCTATGTGATTGGAACTTTATTCGGTCGTGTGTAACTGTAACTGAATATGCCTTCCAGAAACTTGGTGAAATCGAAGATACTGGAAATGTCTCGATGGATAGGGAAAACTATATAAGCCCGGAGAGTGCATCAGTTTTAAGTGGAGTGTAGAGTTTTGAGAGATCTCCGTACGAGCTTCACTTTTATGTACGCTTTGCATTGCATTGTGTTTAATGTTCTTAATAGTTTGAATTGGTAATTACTAATTGTGCTCTATTATACTGAGAAGAGCTATTCTTTGCGGGAAAAGTGCCAGATCTTTAATTTTTTTTTTTTATTTTATTTTATGTCATTTTGAAAAATAAACTTCATTAAGCTATCAACGGTTCTGTGTGCTTTCAATCCCTTACGAACCCGTACGCTCGTAACTATATATAACTGAAAAGTTGTTGACGTGGAGATACACGGAGAATTAGTTTCATTAAAGATGCTAACAGTCGGGTCAATTTAGCATTTTTTAATTTCTTGAGAAGCATATTCTTTACTGGAATTACATGCTATGGTGACAACTGAGCACTTGATTACATTTGCACTCTTTCTCATTTGCAGAGCAATTAATTTCGATGGAATAAAAAAGCGTAGTTGCGGGCAGCAATTATATTACCATGACGGAGAGGAAGTTACAAAATGCCACGTGTTCAAGAGCAGATCTTTGTTCAGAATGAATTAATTTTAGTTGAGCTTTATTTTGATTGATTAATAATAAGTTTATAAAATAGTTATTGGACAAAGCTTTATGTAAGTATTTGTGTTATTAGAATCATGAAAGAATAATATAATATAAATTAATTTTAAAAGGACGAAGTTTAAAGAGATTCTATAATTACTATTTTTAGTATGGAAAGGAGAAATCGCCAAATTAAAATGAAGTAAATACATTATAAGGTATTTCTTCCACCTTCTTAGCATGCCTTCGTAGTATAGTGGTGTGGTATTGCTGGCCGTGATCGTATAAAAGTAATTATACTAAGAGTATCAAATGCGAATTAATTCCGCGTAAATCGTTAATCTAAAAATTTAGTGGTTAGTACATTGCATGATATTAATAATAAGAATCAAATGACTTACCCAAAAGGCATGCAGAATCAGTATCTCTCTTTTAAATATACATTTATTAATCACAAAAACACACATTTCTTGATTAACGTCTATAAATCACAAAAATACACTTTTCTGATTAGCCTATATTCGATATGTTATAAGAAAAAAACACATTCATGAATGCCCTGCGGCATGTGCTACTCGTTAGTCCGACAGGACTGTCACAGCGTTATTTTTACGGTATATTGCAATCCTAATCTTGCTGCATCAAAGGCACATTACTTATCAGCATCTTGCAAGAAGCTTAATTAATAGCAGTTCCTTACTCGTGACAGAAGAGATCAAATTTCTAGCAGATAGGCTTGAAATTGGCGCACATGGTCGTCACTTCGAAATATCCAACTGTCAGGATTATACACGTTGAGTCACAGCACAGGAACAATTTTTTACCTCGCAGTCTAATCAGTAAAGTTTACCTGATTTTTTATATTCTTCGTACAAGAACATATTTTCTCCTCTATCCTAGAAAAATGGACTTTAGATCGAGTACCGTTGACGATGGCGAGAGCTGTATGTGTGTGTGTGTGGCCCGAAGGCCCACACACTCGTTAACACGACGACAGGCAGAAAAAAAAAAAGACAAAACCAGTCCTTCCAGTTTTTATCCACTGCGATGCACGTGGCAGGGCGCGATAACCATTTAAGAATCGATACACCCCGTGTTCACTGTGAGATTCCTTGTTCTCACATTCCCTCGCCGAGAAAAAAAAAAATTGTCCGACACTGGACAAATGAAATGCCTCTCGCTGGATACACTTGACTTTCGTCAGCATCACATACACATTTCACACCAATCTTTATCACTTGCAAAGGCACTGCACTTTATCTTTCGTTAGAACTATATACATTTCACATTACACGCACACTTGAGCTCTCGTATGCACTATACCAATGGACATAATTTTATACATTGCTTGGAAAAAACCAGACCACTTTAACACTTTGTATACACATTTTTTACATTCTTAAATTAGTATTATTCTTTTACGTACTAATGCATGTCTACTTTTACCTAAAATATCACCACAGATGTGATCATAAAAAATTTTGACATATTAATTTATAAACTCACATGTGATAATCAATTTATATTACTAAGATATTGCCTATCAATTTGATGTTACCCTCTTAACCATTGTTTACATTATCTCATTCTTTACATTAGAATCACATGCACTATTCATTATTCTACTTTTATCATTTGTCATATCAGTTCACATATACATTTCATATACCAATGTGTCATGACATTGTTACAAGTACATTGATTAGATCCACTACAAATTCATACCTCAATTTGATTCAACAGTAGACAGGAGATTTGCACCACACTTTTTAATCCGCTACCTAATAATCAATGAGACCCTGATAATACAATTCATTCTTCTGTATATGGACCAGCCAACCTACCAAAATCGTGCAATTAGCGCTTTATTACACTACTGACCATACCACACATGATCATCATCATTATCTAGCTTGTACACTGTACATTCTTATCATAATCACTTCTTTACACTTTTTTTTTTTTTTTTTTTTTTTTATTTGCTGATTACAATTTAAATTGTGTTCACTCCTAATCCCATTGTGTTGAATCTATTCTTGAAGGCTTTGTAAAAACAATTTACTTACGTGAACTTTAGTGGTTTATTATCTAATGTTTATATAATTATCATTTCGTAGCTTTTTTAATGATCTCATATGGCCCCTTGTATTTTGATGTAGCAACTCGATCATAAATCCTGCATAAAACTTTATCCCCCAATTTCAATTCTGGAATTTTTCTGCCTTTCAAATATTTTTTTGCACTTAAGTATTCATCCTCATTTAATTTTACTTGCTGCTTATCTCTACTCAATTGTTCCTTTTTCTTTTGGAATATTCCTTAAAATCTTCGCTAATTTAGAGGATCATTACTATCTATGGGAGTATTTAATGTCTCCGAAAAATATTCTGCTGGTGAAAATTGAGTTAAAAATGTTGATTTTATAATACAGTTTTAAACATCAGTACTTTTGTGGCCATTCAATATTTGTGTGATATTGCTGCATTGGATTCTTTCATTACCTGTGACTCTTTCATCAACCATTGGACTGTGGATAATAAATTGACTTTTTCTGTGTTCTATTTTAAGCAATTTTAAAAATTGAGTAAATTCTGTGGAACAAAAATAGGACCGTTGTCTGTAACAAAATTTTTTGGAATGCAAATCTGGCAAATAATCATTTAAAGATTTATGATGATTGAGAAGTGCAGTTTTTAACGGAACGTTTCCAAATATCTGGAATAATGATCAATGATAGTGAGTACATAAAACTTATTATCTAGGATCTTGGCGTTTACAAACTATGTCTATAGCTATCATCTCTCCAGGAGCAAGATCTTTCTTAGGAATTAGACGTGGAGATGTTGTGAGGTCTAACTTATTTTGTAAGCAATCTGACATTTTCTACAAAACTTTTCGTATCGCTGTACTACCTTCCAATAATACTTGTCTTAAAACTCATATGTCTTTGAATACCAAAGTGAGGTGCATGAACTGTTGTAATACATCTAATAATGCCTTAGAATTAGAATGTTTTTGGATACTTCTGTCTTTCTTTCTTACATTTACAGGTTTTAATTTTATCATCACATCGTAGACTGTCAATAAAATATTTTCTACACTTTCTTTGTGGTTATCGTGAAATTTTTTAATTGATTTTATGTCTGGATCCTTTGTGTTTACTAATTATTTTTGAATAGACAAATTTCATTGGTCTTAATATATTACATTGTTTACCACTACATCCTCTGAAACTCTTGACAAGAGTCTGCTGGTTTTTTAAACCAGGAATATGCTCCATAGTGTATTGAAATTCCGTAATATAACCCAGCGTGACAATATCTGGCTGTTGTCAGACTAATATGGAAAGTCAGAGGTTTAGCATCCGTTAATATTATAAATTTTTTCCCATACAGATGTTCTGAAATTGCTTACGATCGAAGATTGCATAAAGTTCTCTCCTAATTGAAGGATATCTAGCCTCAGCAGGTGTTAAAAATTTTTGAGTAAAATTGTACTGGAAAAATTATCATCATTTTTTTGCAATTAAAGCCACAAATGCTGATCTAGAAGCATCGGTTCTAAATAAAAGGTTATCATTTCTATGTTTTTTATTGTGGGTTTTTCTAAAATTAATTCTTATATTTTATCTAAATGCATTTTGGCATCTCTCGTCCACACGAATGTATATTCTTTCTTGTTAAATTTACATTGGCTTGACAATTTCTGCATAATAAAAATTAGTGCGAAAATAATTTACCATGCTATGAATGTTTGAACCTCTTTCACATTTCTTGGAAATTTGGCTACTTTCTGATATTCTCCTCTGAAGGAGCAAAACCATTCTTATTAACCGAAAACCTAAATACGTTCTCTGTTTACATAACTGCAATTGGCTGGGTCTAATGTTAAAAAATTTTTTTAACTTGTCAAACACCTTTGTAAAATATTTACTAGTTCTTTATACTGGTTAGCTGCAACAATTATGTCCTCAGAAAATTGTAAATTTGGACCTGCAATTCACCTAAACATTTTGATATAGAGTATGGAAATAAGCAGATGATTTTTTGCACCAAAAGGTAACCGAGTTTGGTTGAAATTGCCAAGTTCCGTGCAAAAGGCTATTTTTCTTATCTTTCTGATCTAACTTTATTTGAAAAAATGCTGACATAAGATCTAGCACACAATAATAACTTTTACCTCTAATATTCTGCAAAAACTGAAATTTAGGTAGACATATTTGATATGATTCATTATGCAATTTAGCAATCTATAACTACTGCCATTCTAAATTAATTTGCTAGATCAGTATTATGATGGTGCTTCTGTTGGACAAAAATTACTGGAAACTAACATGGCGATAGCGCTATAAGACGCTTCTAAACAATTTGGCTATCTCCTTGGTCATATTTTTTAGCATGCGAGGAAAGGATGGTAGTTGAATTGGGAAAGTTATGTATAAATTAATTGTGCACGACACATCAGTCTCACCCAGAGTGGTAAGATTTTGAAACACAGCTGAATTTTTCATGAGCATTTCAATTCTATTTTTTGTTCTGCTTCTAAAGACTTAAATCAGATCATTGGGCTTAATTCCTCCTTTTAATTTTTTAATTCTTTTAAAGTGAATATGGTTAACTGCAATTTGTTGCGCTCTAGGTTTTCAAATTGTTTTTTTGACTTTATATATCTACCAATCTTTTCACCCTTCTTAGATAAGTGCGGAATTGGAATGTTTTTCAATTATGGTAATATATATTGCCTGTCACTTATCTCATGGATCCAGTCAGTCATACCTATTTTGCCCATTTTTCTTTTATCTGGTGAAAACATTATTTGCTGTTCTTTTTGCATATTAGCTGAAATGCTTAACTTTACTATCTCTGCTGTATTTGGAAAAATTCTGGTATTTAATACTACTCTTATAATACCTGACTCATCTGGTTGACTATTCTTGTTTACCTTCTCTGCATTAATGTTAGTACAATTTTTTCTTTTGCCTAGAAGATCAAAATATGTGTTATCAATGATTAACTGAATTTTATTTGCATCTATAAGTATTTTTTTTTGAATGAAATCATACCCTAAAATCATTTGATAATTTGGTTCCAATTATGTTGTAACAAAAATTGGTTGGGCAAGCCATTTATTTCCTAAACGAAATTTTAGTTTACACCAGATAAATATGGGATAGTGGCATTATTTAGCGTATGTATTCTTACAGATCTGCTTAAGTAAGAATCTTTGTATAATTTTTTATACTTGCAAGGTGTCGGCTGTATTAAAGCTTAAATTCGCACCTGTATCGAGTAATGCTTCTACCCCAAAGTCGCCAAATTTGATTTCTATTACTTGTAATTCTGTGATACTATTAGTCTGGCAAAAAGCTACCAATTTTTGTTCCTTACTTTCTTTAATTTTGTGTCGGAATCCTTCATGTGTATTTGGCCTATGTGAGTTCCTTATTTTCTTAATTTTGTCTTGTTTCCCCCATATTTTTTTATGGGCACTTGGGTAATACTTAGTGTATCTGGGAGATTTGCAAGTACCCTTCATTAGTTTAAATTATTTATACGAGTATTGTATCTTCTGTATTGTGGCCTATTTCTATTACTGTTCTGTAGTCTATTACCTTGCGAAAGCATACGACTATATATCTATTCCTTCTATTGATAAAGTTACCATATAAAAAATTTCTTCTGTGGTTGTTTCTAGCGTGTCTAAATTGAAAAGATGTTTGAAGGAAATAAGGACACTCTGTGTCCAATGATTCTGTTGG